AATGATCTGTAGGCGAGTGAGGAGTTTGGAAAAACGGATAGATAAAAGTATGAAGTGGCATCGTGATGAGTGTGTCACCGAGACGGACCGGGCACAGCTGCAGTGACTAACGCTTGCCGCATATGCTTACCATCCTAAAGGTTTTAGTAGAAGTCAAAAGAAACTGTTATGCCCAAATCTCTTCGTTAGTAAACTCAGTGACTGAGTGGTAATATCATAATTCATCATTCCAAAAACCGTACCGTTAACTCGGTGAAAGATGACTTCTGTCACCAACTAAACACGATCCTTCGTCCCATCAAATGTACGATAAGGCTGAGCTGAAAACTGATGAGACTTATCTGGTCGATCAACACGGTGTAGGCTTCCGCAGTGATAACGGTGAGCGGTTGTTACACCCATGTGGAAGTGTTTGCCTAGTTCTCACGAGTACTGACTTCCGACATAGCACCCGCGGAAGGATGACACGGCGCCTACCAGCCTCAAACCAACCATGGAAACAAATCGATCACATTGCGATCAATTAGCGCTGGAGACGCTGAATAGGAAACCATCACTTGACTAGGAACCCAGGTATGGACTCCGATCATTCAACAATATTTAGTAATCTCCGGCTGCGGCGTACGCTTGTGACGACGCACCGAGCGCATAGACAGCGGCCAACTGGTAAAGCCAGCCATCCTGAAAGCATATTCAAGTTGGCTCTCATACGTGCTGAGTAAGCGCTCACCAAACACAACTGATGGTCAATGAGTACATATTCGCAGACCTTATTAGCAGCAGGTATGTTTTCATGTAGCAACTCTGGCCATCACCTTGGAGGACTGGTCTCTGTACAGTCTCTAACACTTCCGAGTGCTCACCGACACATTTCGACTGGGGTCAGACACAATGAAACCTCTTAGCTAAGAGTAGAGCTAAGAGTAGAACGGCGTGCGAGTGTGAATAAAGACGGATAAACCTGATGGTCTCATCGTGCGTCGGCGATGGAAACAGCCCCTGCCTTTGGAAATCCCCAGAACGCATTCGGCCTAACACAAGAAGCTGGCAGCAGGAGACCGTGTTAACCGAATTATTTGAGACGACAGTAGAGAACCTATACACATCTTGTCAAAACGCTTGAAGCGTTGGACTGAACACTTTAAAAAGCTAATTAATCGGTTGGAACTAATATATTTACTGTCTGCGAGTGATCATCTTACTCCGTGGATCATCCCTATGGATTCGTTCTGCAGCGCAGAAGTCGAATGTGAGACTGGACTGCTTAAATTGAATAGCGTCGCGAGACTGGACGATCTTCCTCTAGCCCACACAAAATTCGTGGATTTGTTCTCGTGGATGAGTTACCCGATTGATTGATGTAACTGTGAGGGAAAGGAAATGTCCCAACAGCCAGCATCTGCTACGTTGTTTTTCAGATATTCTGAAAAGGTCACGTTCGGAATGCGGCAATCGTAAAGGAATAAGTCTGATTTCCATTGCCTTTAAGATTGTTACCTCTTCCTTTCTTCGCAGATTGACTGGCGCCCTTCAAAGTCAGATTCGTGAACGGCATTTAAGTTTCGTCGAAATTGATGCTGTATTGCCTGCATCTTCACTTTACGTCAATTGCTAGAGAACCGCCATTTAGGTTGGTGACCCACCGAAGTTATGTTCTTCGACATCAAAAATGTATTCCGTGCAATTTGGGATTGTTTGATCTACTAAAAGCAAAGTAATGTGTCAGATGTACGCCGTAACGGTGCATCGCTACCGCACGACCGCCACCAGCTGTGCGTGGTTTGAGTACACCGCAAGAGAGCTCGCCCCTCCGCAAATTCGAACAGATGACCTTATGACTGCAAGCCAAGTGTGCAGACCACTAGACCAACGGCCGACATTGTTGAATCAAGAAAATTGTGCTTACCAAATGTTTTAAAATTATCAAACCGCTCACGCGCGTAGTTGGGACAGATTAAAGGCTTGTAGTAGAATGTCTCCGCCCTTCAATAGCTCCAGCGGTGTGAGACAAGGATGCGCGCTGTCACTTTTACTTTGTAGCATTGCCATTGGCAAAGTCCTAGAAACTGCGTCAAAGGACACGACTTAAAATGTGCGGAGCTGCTTCCAGGCAAGCAACTTCTTGACTTAAAGTATGCCAATAAGATCGTCCCAATCCGTCACAGCTGACGAACGTGCCAAGCCACACTTGTAAGATAAGTGAAGGCTGTCAGCAGTTTACGGCTTTGATTTGCAACCTGTAAATGAAAATTTTTCATCTAAGTTTGATAAGGATCGCACACTGCACTGACACTTTGTGGGGTTTATCTAAGGTCGTTCAGAAATTCAACTTCCCAGACAGCTGTGAAGCGCCTGTGGAATAAAACATGATATCACGAACCGTATAGCAGTCTCGAGGTGCTTTTGCCAATCTTCGCCATCTGTGGCAATTGCGCAACATGACTCTCACCGTGTAGAGTTGAGTCTACAATGCAGCCGTCCACTAAACTCGCAATACGGTTTCAAAAGCTGGCCTATCAACTTGGTAAACATAAAGAGCTTAGCTACGTTCTACCACCAGTGCATTCGCAGTTTATCTCACATCTTGTAGGAACACTACGCGAGAGATTAACGTTTTAAATGTCTTTCTGGTGGTACAAAAAGAACAAGCGAACCGCTCAGCACCATTTTTTCAAGCCACACGCTCCAATAGCCGGGATTCGTGTTACGCCGCCAACACACAGACTCCCAAGACATGCATTGTTTGCGCGACCGAGATGTAGATAGAAGAGAGGAGACCATATGATGACGTAGTCAGTTGGAGCCTCTCGATTTCCTGGCTGATTTCCGTAGAAGATAAACACTTCGGGTTGGATATACTTGTCAACATCATAGGAACTGACCCCCATAGTGTCTGTTGTGAGTCTTTATACCCTGCTCTCCACTTAACCTCCCCTCCTACCACGACCTTGTCGTCAATGTATCATATGAAACCATGTATAATAATATTTTTGTTTTTTTTGCTTTTGTTGTTTTTACATCTTCTATCGCTATCTTATTGAACTGAATTTCTGCACAGTAGCTAAGTATTTTCCATCCCTATCTAATGTGTAGGAGAATGAATGCTGAATCTTAGGCGTTACCGGTTACATTTTCGGCTAACCGAATCACTACTCAGACCACTAACAAAATGGAAAATGTAAAATGTTTGATACTTCAATAACGTATGTTTTGAAAAGTATACTTCGGTCTTTACAGAATGCGCTAAAAGCACGATGTTCAGTTAGTTTAGTACGTTTAGCTCATATCACAGAAACTGGTAAGCATCATAAACCGACCGAGGTTAAATAACTATATACAAAGTAGAGTGATTCAGTGCACTGAATGAGGTAGTTTGTCATTCAAAAAGTGTTCAAACTACCCACTATATTGCTGTAAACATGGTTGACAATTCTAAATAAAATTTCTTTCCATGATCATTGCTTTTGAACTAACGCCTACTTTACAGTTTTGTTCTATCTACTCGTGTGTTGTGCTGTTTTTCTCTCGGTTGCTTTTGCTATTTGAGTTAATCCGTGAGTACAATCATTAGTTTAGTTGTTGCTGATCTTTTGTGTGATGATTCCTCTCGCCTGATCCCTGATTATCAAACAGGACAGTTAGTGTAACATCTGGGGACAAATAAAGTCAAACGCAATGCAAAGTATCTCCCTATTTATTTTGATATGTGACAACAACGTCAGTATGGTTGAGTAAGATGAATGAAAGAAACCAACGACGATTATGCTATTGGGTATCAGCAAGATTCACTAACACCGGTCTTCATGTAAACATGATGGCTTTCCTTACTCATTTAGGTTGCAAGAGCAGCTTGCTGTGGTGTATGAGTTAAAAGGTTGTGCATACACTTAATTTACGAACTGGGGATAATAAACAGGATGTATTAAGTATAGACAAACTCAAACGTCACTTTGCACGATTCCGATAAGAGATCGAATCTCAAGCCAACTGCTGCAAAGAAAGCGTTTCAATGGAACCTTTTTAGTGACTTGCGATCTAGGCTACACTAGATTTATGACAATTGAATTGCAGACAAGTTATTTTCATTGTAGTTCTAATCACACAAATCTCGTGTCTGTTAATAGCCATCTTTACATATGTCTGAGTACTGCCATAATCCAGTTTCTAACGTTACTGCTGAGACATCGAGCGCAACATCTTTCATTGTCGTCTAGTTTAATTATCCATTTGTTCACACATGAGCCCAGCAATCTATGAGAATGCAGAGAATCTGTCACTTACTGCCCTGTCTACAAGAGTGACTAAAACGTATCAGCTGGAGTGACCTGTAGTAACTTAGAGATTCCCCTGTTTGTCTGTGTAAAATATTATTAAAATATAATATCATTTTGGCGCTCCTTAAGTGACCAATTGTTTTGCCTCTGGCCATCCTAATGGGCATCTATGGAGGACTTTTGGTCATTCAGAATGCTTTTTTTCAATGCACCGCTAGCATATACCGCAAATGCATTTTTACTGATTGTAAATACCGTCAACATTAGGTCAAAATCGATTCCCAAATTGCAATTACGCTACATTTAGTCGTAGCCGAAAAAGAAAATAATTTTGCTTAATCAAAATGCGTCCAATGATAACGAGTTTTGTTTATTCAGAATGTTTTTCCAACGCACACTTGCCACATACGCCAAATGCATTTTTCCTTCTTGCAAATGCAGTCAAGATTAAGCCGAAATCGACTCCCAAAATATAATTACATAATGCTATAACCGTTAAGCTAAACCGAAAAGGCCTTCGAGCGACCGAAAGTCGTCCAAAAAGTGCCCCAATGGGACGGCCAAGGGGCACGAAAACTGGTAACTCAGAGAGCTGCAACGGTCAATTGCGCTGACTGAAATTACGATTTTTTTAAAAAACGTAACGCCTTTTAGGCAAAGAACAGAGGTTCTAAAGTTGTGAAATCTTATTAAACAGCATATCTGGACTGATCACGGCATCTATTTTCATATAACATTTTGACTCTGTGAGTGAGCAAAAGCACGCCAAAATGGGACGGTTGGCCGTCCATCTGTGCAGAGAGGGCGATGTCATACTATGTTAAACAAATGACATACTTGTGATAAGGGCTTTATCATGGCGAGCTGCTTTTAACTCTGTAAACAGAGTGGACATTAATTCACCAACAGCCGTCTGAACGCTTTGATCGGAGATGGGTTCTTTATCCCCAACCTATGTCAAAAAGTTATGATAATTCTTGTGCGAAACTGACCTTCATTATCAACGGTGCATACAACTCTTTCAAACAACGGTAGAGATTTTCCAGCACTGAACCAACTACGGATGTTGTGAACACCATGTCTCTTATATTGGATGAATCAAGTATGCCTGGCTGAATTTTCAGGTAGACCAGACATGGTGAATGCTCAATAATAGAAACAACCTAAAGAAAAAGGTAAAAAACTTAGCAAACTTACATCATTGAAGAAAAACAACATATTGTTTTCAGTGCAGTAACATCCAAGGAAGAGCAATGAGGGTTCCTCAAGAAATCTGTATATAATCCCTTCATTTGCTACGTTAAATTTATTGCCATTGTAACAAGTGAAATAATTCTCTGATGTTTCTCTTATAAAATCAAGTGCCATTTTAGGGGTCAGTGATCACTGGCAGACTGGCCTCCGGTAGTCATGATAATGTTTGCCTATTGAAAAAGAACCACTATGAGTTATCACGCAGCCAGTTCAACCGATTAAATAAAACCAAGGTAACAAATGGTTGAATGTACAATAAAGCGCATTATTAACCTTAAGAAGCTTATTTATAGGTAACACATCCATGATTTATCGGACAACACTGCCAAACTTAAGAACTACTCGGCTTCGTTGTTTGATCTGTCGACTGCCTAGGTCACTTCAGGTTCCAAAGACGACATAGGATTCCACCTAACTAGCGTCCCGCTGCTTGTATCAACAAGCAAACCAGAGCTCCAGCTCTCCGACATATGAGTTACTTTCTTTGAGACTGGAAAAGAAGCGAAGCAAGAAATACGATTACTTTCAGTACAGTACCTGACCGGACTGTAGCACAGGCATACGGCAAAAATGAGGGAGTGGTTGTGTGGCTTGGGACGGTAACGGACAATTCTTCTACCGCCTGTGGCTACCAACTTACGTAAAAACTGGCGAAAGAAATACTGAAATCATGTTATTCAGCTTCGGTAACCTATAGACCTTTAGAAAGTGTGAGCAGATTTAACGTTTGCATTCTTAGCTTTGAAGTTTTGTTGACGGAAGGTTTTCTGGCTAACATATAAGCGGCAGGCATAACCCAAGTGTAGCCTAGTGGTGGCGTGCCGGATGCTCAGTCCTACGGCCGGGGGTCAAATTTTGGGTGAGCCGCCTTTTGTACTCGCTCCAGCGGTATATATACTGAAAACGGAACTTTACAGCGAAGATTGCGATGGCCAATACGCAATGAGGACATACAAACTTTTAAACTTTAAAATGGTTATAAGCTTGTACATCTACAGGAATGCCCAACAACATCCCAACGTCATTCTTGCACAGTATTCTAGGATAGACTGGAACCCCAGCGCATACGTTTGCGCAACATTGCTTACGAGATTCATTTGTGTATCAGGTTTTCTTCCTTTCATGCTCGTAAGACATTAGCAAGCTGCCGCATTGTTTACGTGACTTTTAATAACAGTGGAGGCACCCACGGAATAATCACTTAGATTTCCGCATCTCCTGGTGTGTTTAGTTTAACGAGTGTTTTAGTGGTCACTTATGGCGTAAAATTGGTCCTACACTTTGCTGTTAAGCTGAAATCCGGGGCAGAACAATTTTAAGTTTGAATGCTTGCCATTCTCTGACATACCGCGGGCAGTCCAAAGTTCGCTGGGTAGAAGAATTCCCGCTACCTCTATGGGACACCAGGATCTTTGAGGGAGGTTCGAGTTCAAGTGAGATAGGAACAATGGGAGAACCCATGGATGTTCCATTGTGGTAGCGTCGTTGATCCGGAGCGGATTTCAGCGATTCGATTTGTCTTCTAAAATTGCACAACCGGCAAGCGTGCCACACCGTAGTCAAGCAAGAAATTCTCACGTGTCCTGCACCAGCAGTCCCCGCTGTGCAGGTCACGTGAATTGGAAATAAAACAGAAAGAAACGAAAGGAAATGAAAGGAAAAAAACTTGAAAAGCCTGAACCTAAAGTAAACACTGGAAAATGGAGATGGAAAACTGTAATTCAGACTAAGGGGTAAAGGAAAAGAGTTGCAGCTGCAAACCGATGGCGTCAAGTCGGCCTTCAAAAGTCTTAACCGTAGGTACCAACACTACACCCTCAGGCAGGTCTATCCAAGTGTCAGTTACTCTACATGATAAACGGACAGCTCGAGGCTACTGAAGTTTTCAGGAATGCCCACGAAGAGGCGGCAATAGAGGTGGAAGGAAAATTTAAGGTAAGACTTGATCAATCCGACCCGAGAAGATGAGTTAAGTACGGATTAGGTCGCCCTGGGGATGCGGACAGTGCGGGGAATAGATCCCCAACCTAAGCGGTAGCTCAGGATATGGCACACGTCTTAGCTCTCGCACCATCTTGGTATCACACCTCCAAACCCGCTCAATCGCCTTCTTGTCCCACACCAATTGTGGGGGCAGGCTTGGGCGTAGTACTCTAAGTAGAGTCTGATAAAAGCCATGTGAAGTTTAAGATATCTCCCACCTTAGGATTCCTCATTTTCGGCGGCTCATCTACAGCACTTTGCATCCTTGAAAGAAGCCTTCGTCTAGTTAGTGCTCGACTTGTGATCCGATGTCAAGTTGCAACCTAGGTCGGTTGCTCGGATACGCGTGGCACTTCGTTGCCACCAAAAATTAAGACTTTGCTGGATCCCTGTTGCCAAGGCGCAAAACTGCGCACTTGATAATAATGAAGCAAGGGAGGCAAAATCTTAGTAAATACTACTTTTTGGTAATTCTCAGCAACCTCAAAGGTGACAGTGCGGCTGATGACCTGTCCAAACGCCTGAAAGACGCTGTTGCAAAGCACTATTTCGCAGCACCTCTACGCATAGTACTATCCAACAAGCCTATATTCGCAAAACCTTTGAAACACAGGCTGCCTCCGCTGACTCGATCAACGCTTTTTATCTTTACTCGTGCTCCTGTGGTGCACGATACTTGGGTCGTACTACAAAACGCCAATCTCATAGGATTCGCGAACACAGCCCGAGGTGGTTTTACGAAGGCGAAGCGAGGTCTAGTGACAGCTCCATGTTGTTGCACTTCCTGGAGTGCAGTCACGCAGGGGCGGTGAAATATTTCAGAGTCATCTATACTATCCCTGAATATATTTCTCGCGTATTCCGGAAGCAACTCCTGTCTATTGAGGAAGCTACCTACATACACAACCTCAAGCCAGAATTGTGCATACAAAAACAGTTTGTACGTCCGGTACTTCTACAGTGGCCTACAACTTCGGCTGTTGTTCCCCTTTACATACATTGCAAATTTTAAGGACCCCAAGGTATGTTGCTTTGCTCCTGTTGAAATTAAACATTCTGAGCAATACGCAGCTCACCCAGGCACATTAGACACTTTGCGGTCATTATGTAATATTAGATATGATGGCATTATTGAAAAGAATGCTAATAAATGGGAATTTTTGGATTGCTGAAGATCAGCATTTCCCGGGATTCAGTCACTAGATAAGGTTTATGCGTAATTGCCACAAGGTGGACGAATCCCAACGTCTAACAAACACACTCAGTAGAATCTTGGGGTCACCGTGGTCGCTGATCGTGCCCCAGAACTTTAGGTCATCTGCAAACAATGGAGCCGACACCCTCAGTTTCGCAACGAAGTAACTAACATACAACTGCACAATCGCGGCCCAAGGACGATGCTTAGAAAGCGGCATGCTAAAATGTGCACAAAAGTTTCATTGCTTATGTAGGCAGTTTACAGATACATTCACAGTGCCCTAAACGTCCTTTGTGATAGTGGTTTATTTTAAGCACGGTCGCTATTGTTCTTCCTGCTTCTGGTGACAGCTGATATGTTGAATGACAAAACGTTGCTTCGCCGTTTAGTAAAGGGCCCGTACCTTGCTTATACATCGGTGCTAGCGGATGGGAGACGTTTTTAGCTTGAATCTGCAACATAATTTTGTCTTGAAAAGCTAGTGGCTGCTGTAGGGTACCAAAGGGAAACTGAGAAGTTGCTTTCTGAAAGATTTTAGCTACCTGTACATACAATTTAAGTGTGTTCATTGTAATCAAGCCAATGCTAGGGGCAAGCCGTAAGTTTGTCGCAAACCTATACCCACGTCATTGAAGGTACCGTCGTTATAACCGCCCAGCTCGCTTCTCAGGGCGATTGAAGGGGATGTGTTATGAGCCCGGGTACGCCGACATGCGGTATTCGCACCGCTTTCATGTTGGGAACGCGTGGCTGTATCTCCGAAAAAAGCAGTTGCCGGCCTACAGGAATTCCTAGGTTTTAATCTGATGCTGATGTCCCAGCGTGCATAGGAAATGCGCGCATTTGTGTGCATGAAATATGGCATCCAGCTGCTTCGGTAAAATTTATGTGCAATAGGTCTGCAATACGTCGGCACAAGTGAGGCCGAGAAACTGACCAACTTGTTGGACAAACAAGGCATAGTGAAATTTATGCTGGAAGGTGCGGAGATCCGCTTCCTGTTTTTCATCGTTTCTAGCAAGCTGGAATTGGTGGTGTGGTATGGAGGGATCATATCCGCAGACCACCTAGCAACTAATTTAAACGGGTACCTCTTGTGGCATTGCATGTTTGTGGACGCAAGTGGACTGGGCATGTGTTACTTATGCTCTCTTTTGCTTAATAATACCAAGAATAGCCACCAGAAAGCGGTGGATATCATGCTGGAGCTGGTTCCAAGCGCAACCGCAGTGCGCACAATGGTCGCGTACAAATGTTCAGCGCAGGTGAACGCATTTCGAAATGCCTTCCCTATCGCAAACATAGTATTTGTCGGGTTCACATTTTACGCGACCTGGAGCGCCCATGCAGGCACCTTCAGTTCCGTCCGCCTAATGAGCAGAGGGTGTCGTGTAATATGCTGTGCACGTCGTTATATACAAATTATTCGACGTCTTATGATCGTGGGCTGGTAGCCATCCGGGAACAGAACAATGAATGATTTGAATATCTGCTCTCTACATGGATAGCTTGGCAGCTGGCCTGGGCGACGCAATTAAAGGGTCATGGCGTTTATGGGAACTAACAACATTAATGGTGTTACCGGTCAGCATTAACATTTGGAGGAAGGTTTGGATAAGCGAACAAAACTGAAGGCTCCATTTGAAAGCATTGTGTAGAGTTCTACCGGCCTGTTTGGACAAGAGGCGCATAACTTGCGCAGGTGCGGTGTTGCGGAGGACTTCATATATGGCGATGCCATCTTGCTACCATTATCGTCCTACGCACGGCGTCAGCACGCCTAGCACTGCAAAACGGTTCGTATTGGCAGCGTGAATAGTGAAGGGCGTTATTGGCTGGTAGAGGACGCGCGGCTGGGAATTATGTGAGTGTTTATTGACGACGGAAGTGGGCGCGCGTGCCGGTCTAGTCGGCAGTGGTGCATTCCTTGTGC